CCTATTTCCCTTACAACTCCCATTCCAGTGTCTACAAAGAACACTCCAACACCTTCAAATATTTTGCTCTGTTTTAGCTCAACCAGTGACTCTCAACCCTGACTACACATTAAAAGAAGTTAAAAGAAAAAAAATGCCTGAGCCTCACCCCTGCAGAACCTGATGCAGTTAGTCTGAGGTCTAGCCCTGGCATGGGCTGGTTTGTTTAATCTCCCTAGTGGACTTCAATGTACATCCAAGCTTGAGAACCACAGCCTAAACAGAAACGGGATTCTCCCCTGGCAAACCGGCTCCTTTACCTCTTTCTGGAGACTACACATTCTCCCACACCTGAATACCACCAGACAAGAAAGGGCAACCAAACTCAGGCTCTTCCAGACCATAGGTCTTCCATTCTCATGCAAAACCAAAAACAAACAGCAACAAAAATTTGTCTTTCTTGGAGGTTATTTACACAACTCTGTCTATCTGTCTGAATAACTTCTATATCCATTAAGATTCAACTAAAACATCATGTCCTCCGTCCCCGAGAAGCCTGCTCTGGCAGGCTGAGTGATCTAGGGACCACCCCGTCTTCTTGTTACGCCCAGTGGATGCCCTGTCATAGCCTTTAGGTCCCTGTTCATAGGGATCTATTACTTCCCTGTTTGCCCACCTCAATAAACTATGAGTTCCTTGAGAGTAGGAATTATACCTTCTTCATCTCTGCACATGTAACCTATGCAGTGCCTGGCACATGGTTGGCATTCAATAAACACTTGTGAGAGAGCAAGTAGGAGAAAAGAGATAGAGAAGGAAATTTGAGGATGAGGAGGAATAACAAAAAAATATCTCTCTTCTACTGTCATCCTCTGGCCTTCCAAGGATACAATTGATTTTACTTAGCATATTTTTGGAACCATAATGTAGAGACACAGCATAGAAAGTAGAAATCAAAAATGACTCTTCATTTTTAGAAAAAATAAGCAAATTACAAGAAAGTTAGCCTATATATAGAAAGTATTTTTAGAATATATTTCTAGTCATCTATTGGGTTGGCAAAAAAGTTCGTTCGGGTTTTCCCATAAGATCTTATGGAAAAGATCTTATGGCCAACCCAATACTAAGGACAGTATTATTCACCTCCCATTTCTATACCATTGGTGACCCAGGCCTTCCCTGACAATCTCATTCTGTTTACAGTGGCCATGGTGGGAAGAATAATGCCCTGCAAAGATGTCCATATCCCAAATCCCTGAATGTGTGAATATTAACTCCCGTGGCAAAATGTAATCTGCAGATGTGATTAAGGATTTTGAGATGTGGAGATTATCTGGGTGGACCCAATGTAATCATGAGGGTCCTCTTAAGTGAAAGAGGGAGGCAGGAGACTCAGTGTCAGGATGATGCAGTGTGGGAAAGACTCAACCATCCATGACTGGCTTTGAAGATGGAGGAAAAGCCAAGGAGTGCAGGCAGCCTCTAGAAGCTAGAAAAGGCAAGGAAACAGGTTCCACCTTAGAGACTCCAGAAAGAATACAGCTTTGTTGATACTTTGATTTTAGCCCAGTGAAACCCATTTGGACTTCTGACCACTAGAATTGTAAAATAATAAATTTGTATTGTTTTAAGTCACTAAATTTGTGGTGTTTTTTTTTTTTTTTTTTTACAGCAGCAATAGGAAACTAATATAGTGGCTGTTCAAATGTTCACTGGGTACACTCACTCTTGTCAGAGCATGTTTTCTGCTTTGAATTGATGTCACTTCCCAGTTACTGTGGAATTATCACTGAGAGTCTTGATGATGACCTTGAGTCATGACAAGACCCTCAATAAAGGAAAGACTAAGCAGTTGTAACCCCAGTAGTATACATACTCAATCAGGGAAGGGAGGCTACCATACAACCCATGCCCCAAATAGACATAGTATGTTCAAGCACCAAAAAAAAAAAGAAGTGCCTGGAAAAGTGCATGAAACAGTTCTTAACTTTGGACTCCAGCTATACTTGAATAGCTTCCAAAGCTCTGGTACACTGGTTATTAGTCCTTTCACTCTGTTATGTTCCCTACTTAAGGACATCAGGCTTTGTTCTAAGGCTAGGACCTTGAGGGTGGGGGCAGAGGAGAAAGGGAAAGA